TTTTCAATAAAGGATGAACATGATGTGATTCATTTCAAAACAAATCAAATTGCCAACAGTTTTTTGTCAGATTCATTTTTGCCTCTTCTAACATCAACATGAGCAGGCCGACATTGCTTCTCACCAATTGACTCAATCGGATGACCCCTCTATTCCAGATAAGCATGAAATCTTGAAGATCCTCAAGGATATGAAGTTGAACTTGTTGTGTGGCCAGTTTGGCTTCAATGTTGAGTTTTATCTTGCTACTTGTGACTCGATTGCTGATGAAGTCACGACCTTGGCGGTCAACTTCTATAAACAAAAGTATTCTCCCACCTGCTGACAGCAACATTCCTCTAATCCATAAAAAGCTGGTTCTTCAAGTTCGCACTCAATATAGACCTATTATACTTTGTAGTATTATTTATAAGATCATTTCTAAGTCTTTAGCTAATAGGCTCAAACCCCATCTACCAGATTATTTTGATCCATCTCAACAGGCATTTATTGAAAGGCCGGACACCTAGTAACATTATTATTGCTCAAGAGATTACTCACACTTTTTTCACTTAGATCTTGGAAACATCATGCTTTCATGCTTAAGATTCATCTTGCTAAATCTTTTGACTATATTGAATAGAATTTCACTGTCTTGGCTCTCGCACGTAAAGGGTTGCATGGTCATTAATTTATGCATGCGTTTCCACGCCTGCTTACTGTGTCATCATTAATGGACACCTGATATAGAGATTCAAGGGCCATTAGGGTGTTTGTCAAGGCCATTCTCGTCACCCTATCAATTTGTGCTCGCAATTAATGAACTTCCTCTGGCCCTTAATGGTACCATCAGTGATAACAATCTTCAAGGTGTAATGCTTGGCCCAAATTACCCTCCTGTCCATTCTCTTCCTTTTTCAGACGATCTCCTAGTTTGTGGTCATGCAAGTATGCAAGAACCCCACACTATGGCACAAATTAGCCACCATTTTTGTGACATTTCAGGTCAAACTCCTAACTGGTCCAAATCACCTATTTTTAGTGCTTATGTAAATAAAGTTATGATTGCAGACATTAAAGACATTTTCCCAATTCCTTCCAAGGATGCATTTTTCTCATTGGGCCATCCTCTAATCCTTCGGGCCAAAAACGGAGCTGCAACTTACAACTTTGTTCCTGATAGATTCATGGCGAAACCGCCTACTTACAAAGCTAACAAGCTTTCTCATGCAGCCAGGATAGAGCTCATCAGATCATTTTTCTCTTCAACTCATGTCGATTATGTGTCGATTATCTTATTCACCAAAAAAATATTGCTAATATAAGCTCACTGTTATCATCTGAACTTTTTGTTGGCCAAGAATAAGAGAGAACAACTCCATCGAAAGTCTTTGCCTCAGAGCTTGGAAGGATATTTGTACATCCAAACAAGTGGGTGGGCTAGGTAGAAGAAACCTCCAAGCTATGAATGAAGGTGTAGTTCTTGTCTCTAAGTGGAGGCTTGCCAATGCTCACACTTTCTCATTTTTGTTGAGTGCTCAAATCCAAATGCTCCCCGATACATCCATTTAGGTTGCTATTGCAAATACTCCTAAATATGCCTTCTGGTCATAAATTCTTAAAATGCTCCCCAAACTTAAAGCTCACTATTTTTTCCAAGTTAGTCAAGGGAATATATCCATCTGGAGTACTCCTTTGTGCTCAGCTTGAGCAGACATTTACAACGATCTCATTATCCAACCAGTTGTCCTCATTATTTATCCTGTCCAGGTAAACAATGGAACTATAGTTTCATCCACGCTCTTTTAAAAGAACACATGGCTTCCATTATCACTCAGACATTCCTGGCTGGGATCTCACTCCAAATGGCAAATAGGGCTGGAACTCCATGTCTACTTACTAGTTGTATTTGCGTGATATTCATAACATACCAAGGAATCTTCCTACCAATATCTCTGTTTAAAGACATTCTTACGTAGGGCTGGAAGAACAAATGGATGGTTCCGAGAGTCAAAACTTTCGGTTGGAGACTTCTTCGTAAATCTCTTGCATAGGTTTGAGGGCTGGTCATCTCACTATTCAGATTTCCAAAAATATGTTGCCGTTTTGACCAAGGTGAAAATGATATGTACCTATTTTTCCTTTGTGACCTTACCCGAGTAGCTTGGTTTGGTCATCCTTGGTACATTAGATCTGATATTTGAAGGCATAATCATCTCTCTTTGCATAGTGTTATTCATGCTTTACTTAATATGAATTACCCCTATGCAAGTATGCATCAATACTTACCATTTTCAATTTCATGCGATGCATACGGAAATCTAGAATGATTGCCTTTTTGCTAGAAAGTGCTCTTTTCCTCATCATGTGTATATTGTTGCTACTACTTTGCTTGATCAAACTATTTCTTTGGTGAACTCTTTTGATCCTAGCCAGGTTAATGTGCAACACCACATCCAAGGGTCCATGAGTGTGATGACGATTCATCAGGGGGCCGCACCCTTCGCACTGATGTACTTATCGCAAGATCAAAAGATTACTCTGATGCGACATTCATGTGCAAGAAAAATCCCTGGCTTATTGCATGGCATCATAGCTATCTTGCAGGACCAGAGGGACACTCAAGTGCAGATTCAAACATCGGCTCTGATCACTTAATCTCCTCTTCAGGGTGAAGCTTTGGCTCTTGTTCTTGCGGCCAAAGTGACCCATGCTTTGCAGATTAATCTCTTTGCAAAAGTGGCTGCGGCCAGAAGTATTTCACCTGACTTTTGTTTTTTAGATGAAAGGGTCGAACCGAGCCTGAGTAGGGCTCGATCTTCACCCGACTTTGAATTAACAAAGCCATCAACCGACCAGGATTACAAGAGCACACCATACAACCGAAGATAAAAAGGAAAATGGGGATGCAACCCCAGGCAGCAGATGCAAGGCACCGATGAGGCTAAAATCTATGACCAGAGAATAAAAAGAGTACAACTTGGAGACCTAACAGGGGCTAGACGGGATTGCGCCAAGGAAGGAGCTCACCACCGACACGCCGAAGGCAAAGCGGAGCTGCTCTCGCTAGAGCCAGCAAGAAAACAGGGCTACCACTCGAGCACACCCGAAGCCACAAATTGCAACTTGCACGTGAGGAGCATGCCGCAGAGAGTAGCCATAGGAATATAGCACTTCAAGAAGACACAGCGAGCAATGGGCAACGACGCCACCAGGAGGGACGAGCCACACTAAGACCAGCAACACTCCTCCAACAACACGACCAGATCGCCATAGAGGGGACCACTATCCCCTCTCGCCCAGGCCAAGGGCGTCGACCCACCGGACAACGGGACCGCGCAGAGGAGGAAATGAAGCAGCTTGAGGATGGCATTGATCCTCCATGGAGGGAAGTCACTGTTGGACGAAGGATCCGCCGCTAACTAGGACACCAAAGGCTTGCCTAGGCCATCCTCCATCCCACAACCCAAAACGATGCCTTCAAGAAGGAGGTGCAGGAGCACCGTCGCCGCCCAACCAAGGCTGTGGATTTTCACCCGGAGTAGGGGAGGGAGGAGGGGAGGGAGATGGACCTCAACGTCGCCTTCGGGAAGAGTAGTGGCGCCCGGAGCGCCGCCGACGATGTGGCCGCCGCCGCGGACCAAGAGCTTACCCCGATCCAGGGCTCCTCACCCCACCACCATGGGGTCGTCCACCGGATCCAGCAAGACATGGCGTAGGAGAGGCCGCGTCAGTAGCCAAAGGAGGCATCTTCAGATCTGGAGAGGCCACACACGGGGACCCGACCACCAGCCGCTTGGATCCACCGCGGGCCCGTCACCCACACAGCTGGGCAGAGGCGGCCCACCGCGCTAAGGGACGCTGCCCGCACCACCTGGAGCCGCCGCCCCGAGCTCTAGCCCCCTGCCCAGCGACAGAGCGGCAGAGAACCCCGCCGCCGCCCTCTTCAGCGGCCGCGTGGGGAGCCCGACGACTGCCTCCGGCGACGGTGAGGAGGGGAGGTCCGAGAAGGGGGTTAGCGGCGGCCGGGGGAGGGAACCCTCGAGTCGCCCTCGGGAGGGCGACACGAGGGGAAGGGGAGGGCCAATCAAGAATTGGAATTTTTTTATGGTTGATTTGTGTTTTTGAGAACCTATTTCAGCTGATTCTATTCCTTGGACTATTAGAACCACTCTTGTGATCTCTTCGGGTCAACAAAACATGTCCACATGCAGGTGTATCACATATCTAGGAAGATCAATGGTATTGCTCGTAATGTTGCTCATGAGGTAGTTGCATGGTTCAGCTCACAGAACACACATGCGTTGCCTTGTAATCTATCTTCTTTCCCATCTAAATCTCCAGGACTTTGTACAACATGTTTTTTAGGGGCTGTACGCTGGTTTTGGGCTGAATGAAATTGGACGCCTACGGCGCCTAATACCTGTTAAAAAAAGAAAAGAAAAAAAGGCACATATTATTCCTATCCCCACGACCACGACCACGAAACCCTCAGCCGTCACTACCTACCACTTTTCCCCACACGTCTCTACTTGTCCACTCTACCGTGCGACAGATCGAGATGCAGGTCTAGCTTCACGCCGGCCGCCATGGCGGAGGCAGCAAGGGGAGGGCCGACGCCTCCTCATGGTGGCATCCCGGATGAGATCCTCATCTGGGACATCCTCGTCCGCCTGCCCCCCAAATCGCTCCTCCGCTGCCGTGCCGTCTGCCGCGCCTGGCGCACAGCCACCTCCGCCCGTGACTTCCTCATCGCCAACCACGCCTGCCAGCCCACCCGCGCCCTCCTCTACGTCCGCAACCTTCCCCACTACAGCCACTACAAGGTCGGTGGCGACATAGACATCATCCCCTTCGACCACCGGGCCGCCGCCGACAAGCTCTAGCCCGTCGTGCTACTTGGCCGAGCCTCCGAATTCAAAGATCTGGTGGCCTCCTTTGACGGCCTTGTTGTGTTCGACTGGTGGCGCCGCGAGTCCTTGGGTATCTGCAACCCAGCAGCCCGTCAGTATGCCCGCCTCATGGTGCCTATGGACTTCACGTTCTTGGGGATGTACCGTCACCCCCCAACCGTCGAATACAGGGTACTGATATACCCGTGTCTGGCAGCTGGGAGGGAAGCTGGCTGCTATGTTTTATCGTTGGGCTCCATCCAACCGCCGAGAAGCATTGTCAGGCCGGGGGAAGTGCATAAAGAAGTGATATTCGGCACCAAGTCCGTGCTATCCTGTGGCGGGCTGCACTGGTATAGGGTGCATGTAACACCCTCGATGCGACTATAGCTCCGACGTGTCGAGGCACGACTTAGAGACATAATCGCATTGAAGGCATATGTCGCAAGTTAGGCAATCTTCACAACATCCCATGTAATATAATAATGAAAGGGGAGATAACATAGTTGTCTTACACTCGCCACGTCAATCAAGTACATAAATAACATTACATCATCCAAACACTCATGGCCCGACTACGGCGCCAAAATAAAAGAGAACCCAACATGTGACACGGTCCCAATCACCCCCAACTGGGCACCACTACTGATCATCGGGAAAGGAAACGTAGTAACGTTGAGAGTCTTCGTCAAACTCCCACTTGAGCTCATACGCGTCTCCTGGAGCGGAATCATCAGGCCCTGCATCTGGTGTAATAGTAATCTGTGAGCCACAGGGACTCAGCAATCTCGCACCCTCGCGTTCAAGACTATTTAAGCTTATAGGTATGGCAAGGTGAATATGAGTGGAGCTGCAGCAAGCGACTAGCAAGTATGGTGGCTAACTTATTTGCAAAAGAGAGCGAGAAGAGGAGGCAAAGCGCGAGCGAGAAACTAGAGAGCAGCCTGCGCAAACATTACTCCAACACTTTGTCCACTTCCCAGTATCCGCCGAGAAGAGGCCATCACGGTAACACACTCAGTTGATTCATTTTAATTAAATTAAGGTTCAAGTTATCTACAACCGGACATTAACAAATTCCCATCTGCCCATAACCACGGGCACGGCTTTCGAAAGTTCAAATCCCTGCAGGGGAGTCCCAACTTAGCCCATGACAAGCTCTCACGGTCAACGAAGGAATAGACCTCCTCCCAAGACGTTCCGATCAGACTCGGTATCTCGGTAATTCAAGACACTTCGACAAGTTAAAACAAGACCAGCAACACCGCCCGAATGTGCCGACAAATCCCGATAGGAGCTGCACATATCTCTTTCTCAGGGCACACTCAGATGAGCCAGACGTCGGGTAGGCCAGCCCAGAGTTGCCCCTGGTAGCCCCGGACATCGCTCGGTTGGACCAACACTCAGAGGAGCACTGGCCCCGGGGGGGGGGGGGTAAAATAAGATGAACCTTGAGTCTACAGAACCCAAGGGAAAGAAAAGGCTAGGTGGCGAATGGTAAGACCAATCTTGGGCATTGCTGGAAAAGCTTTAATCAAGGCGAACTATCAAGGGGTTCCCATATAACCCAACCGCGTAAGGAACGCAAAATCCGGGAACATAACACTGATATGACGGAAACTAGGGCGGCAAGAGTGGAACAAAACACTAGGCGAGATGCTGAGCCTTCCACCCTTTACGAAGTATATAGATGCATTAAGATAGCATAGCAATATAATGATATCCCAACAAGTAAGTAAAAGATGTTCCAACAAGGAACGGCCTCCAATCTTCACCTGCACTAGCAACGCTATAAGAGGGGCTGAGCAAAGCGGTAACATAGCCAATCAACGGTTTGCTAGGACAAGGTGGGTTAGAGGTTTGACATGGCAATTTGGGAGGCTTGCAAGCAAGTGGTAGGCATCGTAGCAATGGCATAGCAAAAGAGCGAGCAAACTAGCATAGGAAAGATAGTAGTGATTTCGAGGGTATGATCATCTTGCCTGCACAGTTGTCAGAGTTGACTGGATCCTCGAAAGCAAACTCAACGGGCTCCTCGTTAGAGAACTCGTCTCCCAGCTCTACCCAAACAAAACAAACAAGCAACATGGATACAATCAACCACGTGCAAGACCAAGCAATATGATGAAATGATGATATGCTATGCGGAATGCGATACGGGATGCAAAATGCAAGATATGACAGGAAATGCATGAACCTGGCCTCAACTTGGAAAACCAAGTGTTCCACTGGAAAGATGAGATGAAATCGCTTGAAAACAATATAAAGAACGCTGGAATCAGAGTTATGGTTTGGAAATGGCAAGCGATTCAAATATTACACCGGTTTGCGATTTACAGCAAGTAGGCATCTAAATACAATGAGATGAACATGCTACAGCACCCAAACATGACAACAAAATACATGGCAGGGATGAACACAAGATGCTTAACAAAAGTCTAGCACTAAGCTACGGCCAATTCATCCATTAACAGGTTCAAACAAGCATGACAAAAATGCATATGGCAAACAGATCTCAGAGTTAGTGAAATTAACACTTGTCTGGAATTTCAGATCAAGGTAGCCCTCTTCGGAGAAACAAAACTACATGCTACAGGATCTAAACATGGAAAAGTAAAGCATGGCGTGGAGCTACTCAAAGAGCTTAACAAAAGTCCCTTAGTGACATTGAGCCAAAAAGGACCAGAAAATACAATTGCAAGCATGTGAACATAGCAAAAACATAATCAGTTTTCATACTTAAGTGAAAACTGGAGCAAGCTGAAATATAGCTCAAGTAGGCATGTTTACGAGCTCGATGCACTCACTACGTTGTAAGGCATGGCAAGGCAAGCATACATCTATCAAGAAGGCACAAAATTAAAGCTAGACATGGCAAGAACAATAGCATAGCATGCACGGATCAACTACAACATCACCGGCAAAATTGCAAACAAGTTGACAATCTGCCCAGATTCACAAAGTAGCAAAAGTAGAGCTCGATTGACTCAAGCTAGGTTGCTCCATAATTGCAAACAAATACATGGATGGATAGAGCACTACAATATTAACAAAACATCCTTACTGCTCATCCTCAAAAGAGTCACGGATCACTAGGAAACAACATGAACATATGGCATCATGAGATAAACAGCTCCAGGACTTAGTGAAATTACTAAGTCCCTGAAAACAGAATTAGCAAGTGCACCACTTTGCAAGCTTGCACTAGTCACTACACACATCCTAAAAATACATGGGTTGCACCTCTGGAGAGATGACAAAGCCCTTAACAAAACATATGTAGAACTCACGGGCATATCAAGCACACAATAATCGTGACAAAAATGACAAAAGTGCTAAACGGAGTAACAGATCTGACAATTAACTCAAGTAGCCCTCTTCTAACAGCATTTCGAGCATCAAGATGAACCCAAATGAAAATGATACAATGGAATGAAATGATGTACTCTCTGAGATGAACATTTTGATATGCTACATGCATGAATCGGAGCTATGGATGCAAAGTTACGGAGCCGCGAACATGAGCACTTGGACTGAGAATTTCGGGACTTGGACAAAAAAATCAACCTCTAGGGTTTTTTGGATCTAGATCTCGCGCACGGAAATCGAGGAACTCCGGCGAGGAACTGTAGCTGCCAGAGAGGAGGAGGTTGCCGGCGACGAGGGGGAGGCCGGACGATGGCGGCCGGCGGGCACGGACACCGGTGGCCGGGGGCGGCGGCGTAGGGCGCGGTGGCGGCGGCTGGTGGTGGCGCCGGCGGGCGGAGGCGGTGGGGCCGGCGAGGAGTACCGAGCGGCGATGGCACGTTGCGATGGCGCGGCAGCGGCGCGGTGGCGGTGCGGAGGCGGCGAGCGGCGCGCGGGGGAACACGAGGCGGGTGGCGGCGCGGCGCTCTGGCCCGAGCGGCGGAGGAGGAGGGCCCGCTTCGGGCCTGGCGGGCCGGCGGGAGTGGCGGCGGCGGGCGATGTGGGCGCCCGGGCGGATGAATCTCGGGGCGCCACGTGGCGGCGGAGAGGTGGGCCGGACAATGTCCGTCGGCAGGTTTTCGTCCGGTGCAGCGCAGGGACGATTTCTAGGGTTTCGAAGGTAGGAGGAGATCCGAAAATCGGGGGGTGTTTAAATAGGCATAGAGGGAGCTAGGAGAGTCCAAATGAGGTGCGGTTTTCGGCGACACGATCGTGATTGAACACTCTAGGTGATGGAGCAGAGTTAGGTGGGTTTTGGGCCAAATTGGAGGGGTGTTGTGCTGCAACACACACGAGGCCTTATTGGTCCCTCGGTTAACCGTTGGAGTATCAAACGGAGTCCAAATGGTACGAAACTTGACAGGCGGTCTACCGGTAGTAAACCTAGGCCACTTGGCAAGTCTCGGTCCAATCCGGAAATGTTTAAACCCCACACATGAAAGAAAGTTAGAAATGACCACCGGAGGAGAACGAAGCGCCGGAATGCAAAACGGACAACGGGGAAAAAGCTCGAATGCAAGAGACGAACACGTATGCAGATGCAATGCACATGATGACATTATATGAGATGCATGACAACGACAACAACACACGGAGACAAAACCCGAACCCGAGGAAATAAATATAACTTAACGCCGGAAATGACAAGAGTTGGAGTACAAATTGGGAAAGTTACATCCGGGGTGTTACAACACTCCACCACTACGAAAGGATCTCGTCCCGAGATCTAGGACTGAAAGAACGCCGGGTACTCAGAACGGAGGTGATCCTCGCATTCCCAGGTAGCTTCACGGTCGGAATGGTGTGACCACTTGACTTTGAGAAATTTGATTGACTTGTTGCGAGTCTTGTGTTCAGTCTCTTCAAGAATAGCAACTGGGTGCTCACGATAAGAGAGATCTTCTTGGAGCTCAATGTCCTCGAAGTTGACGGTGCGGTCAGGAGTCTTGAAGCACTTTCGAAGCTGAGAGACATGGAACACGTCATGAACATTGGCAAAGTTTGAAGGAAGCTCGAGTTGATAGGCAAGGTCGCCTCTCTTGCTGACAATCTTGAAAGGTCCCACGTATCTAGGGGCAAGCTTCCCTTTGATACCGAAGCGACGAGTACCTTTTATAGGAGAGACGCAGAGGTAAACATGATCTCCGATCTCGAAAGCCAAATCACGGTGCTTACTATCATAGTAGCTCTTCTAGCGGGATTGGGCTGCTTTGAGGTTATCACGAATGACTTTGCACATTTCTTCTGCCTCTGTGATTAAGTTATTACCCAAAAGCTGACGTTCACCGGTTTCAGACCAGTTGAGAGGGGTATGGCACTTCCTACCATATAGAATTTCAAATGGCGCCTTGCCCGAACTTGCTTGAAAACTGTTGTTGTAGGAGAATTCAGCATAAGGA